ATATATGTATATGCTCAAAGAGTAGTCTTGAACGAATATTGAGCACGCTACTACACACCAGGTCAATGTCACAATAAATGAGATCAAGCGTGAGCAAGACAATGCCCTCAAGGCAAAGGAGCTCTTTGCAAATGCGGATTGGGCCGATGAGTCTGTGGTAAGTATTTTGCGAGGCACTTCAACTATTAACGACTTATTTTGGTTCTTCGATTAGTTGCTTCCTCGTCTAACGACTTTTGTAGTCTCTAATTTGCTGTTTCGCCAAGTGTGTGATCTCTACATTGTGATGCTTCTGCTGGTGTAGTAACACTCGTTTACCTGCAAAACATGCGTAACACATGATGTTTCAACATCTCACTTTCTTCATTGTACAACTAAAACTTTCTTTTCACACTCATCCGCACAAAAACATTCGAAGGCTTGCAGTATACGCGAACACCATGTAGTACACGTTGGCACCAGCACGTATACCTACAACTGCAGCCGCCAGAACATAACTGCATGGTGGTACTTCGATACGAATACGCGTCCACGAGCGTGTGATTTAAACCACGTACACACTCAGCAGATTCTAGTCGTCAAAGTTTTATTTCGCTCCCATTGCGTCTCGTTAAGTCAGAAAGATCTAATTAAAATTATCGATCGCTGATGCTGGGTGTTTATACATTAGGATATGAAAAGGTTGGGCAACCTGGTGTACAGTGGAGATGTCTACGTGTCAGTGTCAAAACGCGAAGGCGAGCGATGGGAGTGCTTCCTATTCCAGAGAGAGGTAAGGAAGACCTACACTCCGGAAGTTAAGAGTGTCTGAAGTCCATGTATCACTTGTGAGAGTATAGCATGTGCAAGCCATTTGGGCAGTCAAGAGTAGGCGTACTATATGTCCAGAGTGTCTCTCACAACCGAGATTAACGACACGAATCCTTACACTACTGCTAGGTTTATGATCTAATTAATGCTTAAAATGGGATACTGTACTATGTATGTCAGTACGCTCTCGGAAACTCTGCGTATTGAATTAAGCCTTTAAATTGGATTTGGAGAAGACTAAGCTCTTCCGAACATTATCAATCTAAATACACCTGACCCTGATATATGTAGTCATACATCTTGTAAATCTGTGCTTCCTTTTGTGTCTATCAATGGTACTATGATCAGATAATTATGTTCCGTAAAAAGGAACGCGCATCAGGACCTACCTATCGGCTGAAGGAGCGGCTGCCCGTCACACACTTGGTGGTTCGCGATGCCATACAGGACGACGGTGAGTGTGCAGCTTGGAAATGTCTATTTCGCGGCATCAATGCCGATACATATATATTTTTTTGTTGGGTAAGTAGTGTAATATAGATACATACTTTCGGTTGATGGTGTATTGGTGATTTGTAGAACTAGTGTCTCTATTGGGGAGTGGGCATTATACCTGTCAGCCAAAAGTATCAGCAAATCACCAGTTGAAGTGAAGGTTGCTCGCCGCACACCTGGGAGTGCCCAGGTGCATACACGACGACATTGTCTGTACCAGTTCATATATGTAGTGGTAATGGTCATGTGCAGCATGTCTTGGTCGATAGGCTGTACACAACAATGATAGACATTGCCGAATGAGATCTCAGATATTGCTTCTTTTCCGTTTCTTCCGATTTATGCAAAGTTATTTCTCTAAGTATCGGTAGGAATTCGATGTTTTCCAAATCAGGTCGGCAAGTGTGGGAGCTAGTCAATGCACAGGACAGTAAGGCCAAAAATAACAACCCTAAAAGCTACTTCATCGAGTGCAGGTATGATCTTAGTTCCTCGATATACACCTGAAATCATCCATCTCAACTTTTGTACCATTAAAGTGCATATATGAAATAAGTTGTGGTCGAATTAGAGTTGAATATTATGCATCTGTGTTAGAATTTCAGGACTTGTTTTGTCCATGATAGAAAATTCTGACCCTTGCACCCTCTTATATCAATAGGACCGCCGAGGAGAAAAAGTATTGGATGAACAAAACGAAGGGTGTGCTGAAGGATGCTCTGAAGGCTAAGAAACAATTACCAGGTAGTTGTCGCCTGTTCCTATCATATTAGTATCTTGCATACGGTTCAGAATACCGGACAATAGTATTAGGTATTCTAGCTTAAATGATAAATCTTGAGCTGATGGCAGGTACTGATTTAGAGTAGCTACGTATTATCGCAGGAGACACACAATGTATCTTTCATCTACTTGCACGCGGAGACACCATCCATCCACTACTTATTCCTTCTTCGGGTGCCATTTCCAGTCACCCACACGTTGTTTTACGACTTGTACTTGTCAAATATCGAACTATGGCCCTATGAACTTATACAACAACATCGTCATATATAGACCTCATTCACCAGACACCACACTCACTCAAATAATTGGCAAACCTCAACGCAGTGACAACATAAGGGCGTGTAAGTACTCTTGGAACAACTATCACACACAATATCAAAAACAGTACACACGCACATGTTTGTAGCCACTCGACTCATCGTATAGCCAATTCCGGCTGCATAATCATCTAAATAGCGTTACACATGTCCACACTCGCTAACTTCTTTGTTTTTGTGCATGCACCAACAGAACCAGCTGTGGCCGAGGAAGTGGACTTCTTAGACTTTTTGAAGGAGGCTGGGGAAGCTGGGGGCGAATAACTGCTTGTGGCTGAGAGATTGATAAGATACAAACACTGATATAGGTGCCTAGCAATAAATTCGTATTCCTGATACACGATTATAACGTGGAGAAGAACGACATTATTTCAGTCTTTCAATACATCTCACTCTATTAATAGGTGCATTGGCACAACCAGGAGGTTTTGATTCGGCCCTAATCTATGCATACTATATAGATCCACTACAACCGAGGTCGACAAACATCATGACAAACAAGTTGCTATAGTCTCAGGACTTTCTCGAATCATCCCACCTTAAACTGGATTACCTCGCATTTGGTTAAAAGCTATGGCATAATGTAAAGTTGATATAAAGTATAAATGCTAGAATCCTGATTGCTATGTTCCTTTTATTGACCAAAACAGGGTAACCGGACAGTAGCATCTGTATTAAGAACACGAGCGGAGTAAATCAGTACGTGACTTATGCGTAATTGCATGCCACAGCTATAAACGTTCCTTCTTCATATTACGCATAAACGGTCGCCAAAATGGATACTATGTACCAATTAAAGGCACTGGGACACGCTCACATTCAGGTAGTACACGGTCGTGAATGCGATGATGGGTAGCAATGTGATGTATATTTCTTACAAGAGCATGTTTTCTCTGCTGTAAACTTTATTATACAGAGAATAGAATCCGACAGAGACTAGAAGCAAACCACCATTGCCATCAACAACAAGACGGCGGGCCTCTTGTTTCTTCTATTGGTTTGTTTTGTACTCAATCCGAAAAGACCCACAGAGCGCCAAACATGCCACCAAAACATTCACAGAAAACCATAACAAATGCAACTGTGCACAGCTCGCTTCATCGTTAGCGCAACACACCAAGTAGGATGTTGAATTCTCGTTGAATGGGCACTCAATCTTTTCAAGGTTTGCCTTGGAGGCAGATAAATATTTTGATGTTCCAGGACCTTCTGCTCTTTGATTACAAACCTGTGCGAGATGACCAGTACCAATTTACGAGATTCCCTTTTGTTCGTAAGTATATGTTTATATCTATATATATATATGTGCATGTGTGTGTGTGTGTGTGTGTGTGTGTGTGTGTGTGTGTGTGTGTGTGTGTGTGTGTGTGTGTGTGT